GTAAAACTAAACCTCTGTAGAGCCATGGCAAAAAAGACGACATGAAGATGGAAAACCTCTGGATTTCTAGCTAAGGCCAGCTCATTATCTTGGAAGAATGAGTCACTGCTTACTAACATCTCTCCAGGGTGTGTTATTTAAGTAGCCAGCACCAATAAATATCCCATGAGCCACTTTCCTTACTCCCCACATGCACAGTCACCGGTCCCACAGACAAGGAAGAAGACTCAGTGCAAAAGCACCCACAAACCTAAGCGAAGAATGACCCGATTTTAATACCTACAAGGACAGAAATGCAAACAGTGGAGTGTTCCACCTGTCAAACATAAAACCGGGAGAATGAAAATCTATGCTCCATCTATACTACTCAACAGAGTTTTCACAGCAACACCAAATACCCAGACTATTTGCCATACCTGAAGCATGCACTGCGACACCACCCCCTCGGGTATCTCGGGGAAACGCTGCCGGAGGTCGTGGAGTACCTGCACGTCGAGCTGCTGACTGCCCTGCGCCATGCCAGATGGTGATGTTCCAGGTCACGCCGTATGGAAGTCAACAGGCCTTCCAATGGTTATGGTCTTCTGAGGCTTCTGGCATTTTCTGCAAGAAAGAAAAGACAACCAATTATCTTTCAAGTCACCACAAATTTTCCTCTGTCCCCAGCTGCATGTGTAGGAAAACAACTGTATTACCTTTTTGGATTTAGCTATCAAGAGAGGCAATAGCTTAAACACAGGCTTGGGAATAATCATCTCTCAAAGTTTAATATTAAAACACTTCACATATCACAGGTATATCTATATGGAATTTCACTGGAATGTTCTAGTTCAGGTCTTTGCTCAGTCCCACAGTAGCACCATGTAGGGATAACTTCATCTGACCTGCATGAAATGGAACTGTTACATACTCCTAGTGAAATTTTGAACAGTTCGCAGAAAGTCTGAAGCAAAGCACGCGTGTCTGTTATTTACAACATGCTAGAAATAACAGGCTGGAAAACTAAGAAGCAGAACTATCCAAAATTACTCCTCTATTAACAGGGCCTAAAGTCTTTTGTCTCTACATCACTACAAATCCAAGAAGTTAAAGGAAATTTTGTGATACACAACAAGGATTAAACAGAATTTAAAGAGTCCTTTTTAGGATTATGAAGAAGTAGCTAGTTAATATTTTTGCATGAATAATGTCAAAAAAATCCCCTGTTTCCATTTCAGGATTCTTGTACTCAATAACAAAAAGATTCTATCGGAACTTCAATATTCAGAGACTACTAGAAGGCAAATGCAATCTGAGTCAAATGCTTTTCTCACTTGTGGCTCATGAACACAGCAATCATCAACAGGCAGCTGAAGTCCAACCACAGGTTCACAAAACCTTTGCATGAAGGTGGTGCACGACACAGCCCCTGTAACTCATCTGTCATGGCTAAGCTTCACAAGCCTTTCCAACAACACTGCTCGGTCGAACTCCCAACTGCAGAAAATGCAGTGCTGTGGTCAAAAAAGGAAATGAAGGTCAGATACCACCAGAGTTGGTGTTCAAGTGATGTATTAGCTACTCAACGTCCCAAGTTTAAATCATGCTTATCTCAGCCTCACTGCAACTGTGGGCAGCACACCGCACAGGTACTCCCTCAGCCTTCCCCTGGCCTAGCTCCATTGCAGCATCAGTCTAGAGCAGCACAACAGGTCAGCAAACACTGCAGTCCTCTGTGCACTGATGTATTCAAACTGTTTCCTTTACCTTTCCTCAGAAAGGCTCTTAGTTTTCACAGGCAAGAAGAAAGAACATATATCTTCAAAGAAATGGAAGAGGTCAGGTTAAGGGTAAAAAAAGTTTGGTAAAAGCTTTTAGGGTAAAAAAAGGGTTTAGGGTAAAAAAAAGAAGAAGTTAAGTCCAGTCCACTATGTGGCTGCTTTGCATGTGGACAGCTCTCAGCTGACATCAACATTCATTAGACACCACAAGTGCTTATGAAACGAGCTCCTCTGTCATGTCTCACACATTCTAGTATTTAGCATTACATCTGTCACATCACACACTTTCTCAGATAAATGAGACAAGTTTAAAGAACAGGGAGATATGTGAATTATTTTGCTTTTTTGTAACTTAAGGAATCCTACAACAAACTTACCCTGTATAATCACATTTCTGTCCACTGCAGTAATGCTGCAGACCCCTTTCATCTTAAAAGGAAATGAGCTTTTACTGACTACAAGAGGCAGCTGAAAATTCCTCTCTGCACTCACAGCAGGCAAGCTTTTATACAACTTATTTTTTTATAAATGACAAATGAAAATCATATTCTAAAGGCAGACCACCACCAGAATTCCCACAGAAAACCCAAGAGCAATCAAGCTCTATGCAGTTCCAGGTAGCTCTCCTTTTCCCAGGAGGCAGAGGCTGAAATGCAGTAATGGAGGAAGACTCTATCACAACAAACTGCAGTTAAACCCCTCTGGAAAAACAAATTACAATACCTGAAACAGAAGACAACAATTTTAAGAATTTCATTGCATGAGCAAAAGCCTTTGCATCACTTCTCTCGTCAGATAAGTATTTGAATGTAACATGGGTGAGGAGACTGGAGGTCCATCATCAATACATACCGTGGTTTTCTACATGCTTTCAGAATAATGTAGTTAGTTTGGGATTTTTTATGTTTTCAGACACTTGCTGAATATGTGTGGTGAGTAGAGGTGTAACACAAAGCAGCTGGCAGTTACTGACACCTATGAATTTTATCAGACTTTTAAACACAATAGATAGCAATTTTCCACTTTCATTCTGAAGAGTGGAAGCTCCCAGGCTTTGCAGTTACACAGCCTTGAAAGGCCTACAAGAAACCCAAAATAACTGTGGAGATACATGAACAAACAATTGTTCAGAACTCCTTGGACTACATGGCTACACTACCGTGGAAATTTGGGTTTGGTTGGGTTTTTTCCCCAGTCAATACCATAAAACACACTACTGCTGTTATGTAGGAGCCCAGCCCTTTGTGCTGCCTATTCTGCTTCATCTGCCTAAAACTGACTGCACATTTTCCACTCTAAGCAGGCACAAACTGGCTGAAACACAATACTCTCTTCCCATGTTGCTCCACAGCACATGGCAGGCAAGAGAAGCAAGTTGCTCAGAGAGCCAAGAGCTTACAGCACAGACTACAGAGCTCAGATGCTTAGACAAGAACTCCTGCTGAGTCACACCAGCCCAGGAAAGCAATCCTTCAGAGACTTCCTTTCACGGGTCCACAGGCTAAGGGACACGCTGAGGCACACTATGTTACCAGCCCTACAATTACTCCAGCTCAGGGCATCAAACCCCAACCCAAAGCCACAATGAAAGCAAACTGCTTCGTCTAACTTTCAACACCAGCCAAGGGGACCCAAACCGTAGATGAAAAGTATCTCGTGAGGACGGAATAAATTAACACTGCTGCATGCACAGCAGTTCTGACTGCAAAGAACAGCACAGAATCCGGCCTGCTGTGCTAAAGACATGACCTCTGGAGCCACCAGCGAATCTTGGGGATTATGCAAACCATGACTCAAGTCCTAAACAAGTAAAATAATCAGCTTTTCACACCTTTCACATGGCCAAATGATATGTACAGGAAAAGAGTATCTTTAAATTTAATCTTCTTTCCTTAAGGCATCTGTGTACCCTGCAAGTTAAGAAAACAACCAACAGTTTCACCAATCAACTGATGCCTCCTTTATGAAACAATGAGTAAAAATATTGGTAGAATTACTAGTCTTGAACCTCCACACAGTGTTCAAATATTTGCAGAAGGAAATACACTTTATTACTGTCATTTTTGAACCACTAAACCTGTCATTTTTGAACAGTAAATGAAGATCCATGAATCATCAGGAATGAGATCCAACTGAAAACTAAATTAGGTCAATACATGCCAGCTGAAAATTTATAAATTATGTGCACTGCTGTGCACTTATTCAATTACAATGTATGGAGCAACTAAAATAATTCCTGAGCGAATTTCCAGAAAACAGGTTACCTGGAAGACAGTTTCTCAGGCCTCATCAATTTAAAGTTAACTGTTAGGAGTTTTGTAACAACAGCTGGGCATTGAAGGATAGGAGTAAAAAAGAACAGGACAAAACACAGTAATAAAAAAATAATTGATAGAATCATAGAATATCCTAAGCTGTAAAGGACCCCACAGCTTGAACTGTGCCAGGTTTGGATGTTAGGAAAAGGCTCTTCCCCCAGAGGTGTTCAGGCACTGAACAGCTCCCAGGGCAGTGGTCACAGCCCCAAGGCTGACAGAGCTCAGGGAGTGTTTGGACAATGCTCTCAGGCACAGGGAGTGATTCCTGGGCTGTCCCATGCAGGGCCAGGAGCTGGACTCTGATGATCCCTGTGGGTCCCTTCCAACTCAGGATATTCTACGATTCTACGACATACATTTATATAAACTGAAAACAATTCAGTGAATTGGACATTTGTTACAGTTTCTTGAATGATGTTACCACATAAGCAAGGACTGCTTTGGGGTGGATGTCAATTTAATATCTAGAATAGATGTGGACAAACTTCCACTGCCTGCAGAGCCATCCAGACCAAGGGCTACAGATCTCCAAGGATGCCAAGTCACTGCACATGAGGAGGCATGAAATAGCAGTGAGCTCGGTGGTACTTACAACTCTCATACAACTGAACAGCTTTCTCTACCTTTCTTCCCGCTCCAGCCAACTCAGCCAAACTACCTCACCCTGCTAAAACAATTTAAAAACAAAACCAAATGCTTTTTACTAGTTCAATAAGCTTACTCTGCATAACACATACCCACTGAGCACCACACCACCGTGGAAAGGAAGAAAAAAGGGGAAAAGGGATGCAGGACCAGGAACAACACCTCCCTCTTTTCAGCACACGTAAGCCAGTTAGAACCATAGCAAACAGACGCCTTCGCCTGAAGCAGACTTAGAACAAAACCCAAAGCTGCTCCCGTACGAACAGCAGTGATTCACCATGGGGATTCTGCCAAGTGCTGTCCATACTGAGCTAGAAAACATGGTGTGGCACTGCAAGAGAGCTGGCTGGCAGAGGAGCTCAGCGGGCACACCACCAGCGAGAGGTCAGAAGGGAAACGATGTCAGACTCCACACCACTTGCCCATCACCTACGCAACACTGTTCTCTACAAACATTCCTTCTGAAAACCATGATGGAGCAAGTGATGAGGGGCAGCCAGGCTCTTCATCACTGCTATGATTACACCCTCGACAGTTCTGCTGACACACTGGCTACATGCTTCCACAGGCTGGGATACCCTCCATGCACTGCATGCCAAGAATAACACATGAGAACACAAGAGAGTAATTAGCTCAGCAGACATACTTAGAAAGCACTTTATTAGACTAAGTATCTTTGGGGTTTTACCTAACACAGTGGCTTTAACAAACAGATATGACTTCAGCCAAAGTCTACATCACTGCTCGATCACATCCCGATCCACTTCTCTCCTTCAATACCCAAGCAGATGTTCA